GCCCATGTCACAGTGACCATTCTGTCTTCTCCAGATGCCTCAGGGCATGTTCTCTTGATGCATTCAGGTCTCTCCTCCTAACCCTAGCCCTGCCACCAAGCCTGCCCTCACCCACCCCGTCTAAATTGCCATTTCTGTCACTCTCTGGGCTCTCCGCCTACACTTTGCGCGCAGCCTGACATCACATTGTATATTTATTATACGCCTCCCCCAGAGGACCGTCAGCGTCACCCAGGCAGGGACTTTGTTTGCTCCTTCCACTGCTGAATCCCCAGCTCTCAAAACAGTACCTGGAATGTAGCCGATTCTCAACAAATATTTGTGGATGGATAAAGAAGAAAGAGAAGGAGAAGGAAGAAGAGGGGAGGAGGAGGAAGAAGTAATCCTACAATATAATGCTGTCTTTTGTCCTGGTGAATAAAACGTGAGGTTAAAGAATTAATTTCTGATCATTAAAATTTAGAACTCAGCCCACTAACCAAAAAGGCACCCGGGGGTCCGGCCAGTGTGGCTCAGTGGTTGAGCGTGGACCCACGCACCAAGAGGTCGCTGGTTCGATTGTCCGTCAGGACCCATGTCCAGGTGTGGGCCCGATCCCCAGTGGGGGGCATGCAGGAGGCGGCCAATCGATGTTCTCTCTCATTAATGTTTCTATCTCTCTCTTCCTCTCCCTCTCAAATCAATACAGAAAAAAACATTTAAAAAAGAAAGCAAAAAAAAAAAAAAGGCACTAGGGGACCAGGCAATCTTCCCCTTAGTTCTGAAAAGCTTTCTCTATGTGGGGCTCGACGTGGAAGGCTGTGGGGCGTGGGCAGCACTGTCCTGAGGCGGGGGACCAGGGGGGATGCTGAGGAGAGCACAGGCCTCCACCTGGAGCCAGCCTGACTCGAGCAGGATCCCCCCCTTATTTTTGGAGGCTGTTTGCTGACCTTGCGTGGGGCTTTGAAGGCTCAGATGGACATTCAGGAACTGTCCTGAAATATTCCCTCTTCCGTATCCAGGAGGCCTGTAACTTTCAGGAACTGTTGATTGTCTAGGGAATATAAACAAAAGAACAAAGGCGAAAATTGAGGCATTGGAAGGAAAGGAATCTCGGAGTGAATGGAACAAAATACCCACTTGGAATTTAAAAGCCAGAGTGGTGTGCAAAAGGAGCACTGTCACAAACCCTGGGGGGGGTGGTCCCCAGAAACCAAAGAAATTCCAGCCCGCTTCTCAGTCCCTGTTCATAAGAAACTCACAGAAGGGGCACGTGTCCCGAGGGCTCGAACTCCTTGCAATGCAGCCTTGGGTGCTGGTGGCACGTTTGCAATGAGAAAGCAGAAGGGAGGTGCCGGGCAGGCTGCTTTTATTTACATAAAAATGGTCTCTTTTCTGGAAGGGCTGCAAGACTGGCATCAGGGCGCCTGGGGCCAGCCTGGCCTTTTTCCTTTTCAGTCTGTGTGGCAAGCTTCTCCCTGACTGCAGGACTCAGCTTCTCTTTTTGTAGAGAGGGATCTGAGCTGGGGCATTTTTGCTGTCTCTTCAAACCCTTGGCAGCTGCCTCAAAGGCTTTAGCTCTTTTCTGGCCTGTTCTCCCCCGCCCGCCACCCCGACCCCTCCACGCTCCCTTTTCTGTTGGCAAATAGACTGCTTACTGCTCGACGTGGAATCGCATGCCCAGGAGGGGACCCACCTTGAGTCTTGGTAACAGACACGGAGGTGAGGGGGGCTCTCACCACTGGCCCGACCAGTGCAAGGACCTCGGTCGCTTCTTCTCGGTGGCACCGGGGACAGTGGGTCCACCCTGCATGTCTGTCTCTCTCTAGAAGCAATGACAACATTGACTATTTGGCCAAGTTCCCCAGAGCATGTGACAGTGGGACACCGCGAGGGGGGGAGCTGCCAGGAAGGGTCCTGAGCCCTTGGCCTTGGGTGAGAAGGTGGAACTCTCTGGGCCTACAAGGGGATCCTTCTGTGTGAAGTAGCGTCAACTTCCTTACCTATGAAATGGAAATAACAACTCTCACCAGCCAACTCGGGGCATTTGTGGGAATCAGATGGGAAAATAGATTCGGAGGAAATCTTTGAATTGCTGCTTTAGACCCTTGGGTCCAAGACTCGCAGGCACTGCCTGACCTCCTGGCGCTCTGGCGTGCAGTTTCTTCATGGTACCCACCCTGTGAGCCCTCCAGCAATAGCAAGCCATTCTGAGCACGGGCTCTGCAATCAGGCTGCCCAGACTTTCACACCGGCTTTCTCCTTACCAGCTGTGTGATCTTTGGCAAGTTAACTCACCTCTCTGATTTCCAGTTTCCTCATCTGAAAGTGAGGATAAAAGAGAACCTACCTCGCCCAGCCGGTGTGGCTCAGTGGATTGAGCATCGTCACATGGACTGAGAGGCCCCGGTTCGATTCCTGGTCAGGGCACAGGCCCAAGTTGTGGGCTCGACCCCCAGTAGGGGGCGTACAGGAAGCAGCCGATGGATGTTTCTATCTCTCTTTGACTCTCTCTCTAAAAAAATTAATAAAACTTATTTTTTTAAAAAAAAAGAAGAAGAAGAAGAACCTATCTTGAGGGTTACTGCAAGAAAATGTATGAAAAGCATCCGACCAGCACCTAAGATATGTTCTGTTGCTCTTCATGTTATTTCTTTCAAGAGCCCCCCAACTTGTTGAAGACAGCCCAGCCATCACTGATAAGACCCGTGTTAAGACTCAACATAACTAATGAAATTGGGGGGGCCTCCTGGAAACAGTCAGCTCTCAAGGTGTGGTCCACAGAGCTTTGAGAAGCCTGGAGATCCTTTCAAGGGATCCACAAAACCAAAACTATTGTCAAGACAATGCTACTTTGTCGTTTTCACTGTGTTGACGGTTACACAATGGGGCAGAAGCAGCAGCAGGCAGAACTGCCGGCGCCTGAGCACGGATGAGGTAGCGGCACCCAACCGTACACTCATCAGATTCTTTACCAGAAAGAAAGAAAAACGCCTGTTTCACTTAACCATTTATTGAAGTCGTACATATTGTCAATTTTTTACATCTTGACCCTTGAGTATTCTTTTTAATGTTCTGTGTGACTAAATCAGGGCAGGCATGAGGTCTTTGTAGACCCCGCAGTAGGAGAGTTGTGGAGGGACACACACCTACAGATGTGTGATTTGCAACATGAACGAGCTGCCTTTGTCATGGAGAAAAAAACACAACGTTGTACTTGAAAGAATAAATGACTAACTGACTAACAAACTATGTTATTCAGATGTGGGCGTTTGGCAGTCATTTTCTCAAAAATGAATGAAGTGAGCTTGTCACCTCAAGAAAAATCACTGCCAATGTTGCCTAAGATAAAATGCAAGCTTTCAAGTGAGTTTTGGAAGACTTATATCCGCCATCATGAGCTTGTCAGCTTCCCAATACTTAGATATTTTTCTAAGATTGATGGTAATGCTAGTGAATGTGATTAGTTTTTTTATATTGTAGAATGAAATGTGTTAATATTGGGAAGATTAGCATGAGTCAGTGAATGAACATTTCTCCAGTAACCACTGCATGATGTTACAAAATCATGACTAGTAAAAGATCCATTTAAAGTGTAAGATAGACCAATAAATTATATGTAATAAAATCTGTTAAAAATTCATTGATATGGTTCCAGATTCCACTTTGCAACTAACCATGCAGAAACTACCACTTGTCCAGTTCAGAAAGAACAGTATTAAAGGAGGAGCCCCATAAGGACCTGCAGAGACCATTGAAATATTTCTTCCTTCCCAACTATGCCTCTGCGAGAGGCCAGACTTTATTTATATACTTCAACAAAGCAGCGCATTGCAACAGATTACATGCAAAATCAGATATGAAAATCAGGTTGTCTTCCAAGCCAGATGTTAAAAAACTATGCAAAGATATAAAACAATGTCATTTTTTCTTGATATTATTTTTTGGTTTAGAAATTTTTTTCATGAATATATGTTATGTTAACATGCAATGAGGTTATTTTTGTTACTTTTCAGTGAATTAATAAGTCAATATTTTAAAAACTTATATTTTTGCCCGGCTGCTGTGGTTCAGTGGACGGAGTGTCCCGGTTCGATTCCCGGTCAGGGCACATGCCCGGGTTGCAGGCTCAGTCCTCAGTAGGGGGCGTGCAGGTAGCAGCCAATCAGTGTTTCTCTGTCACATCGATGTTTCTATCTCTCTCTCCCTTCCTCTCTCTCAAAAAAATTCAATAAAAACGTTTAAAAACTTATATGTTTAAAAACGTATATGTTTGAATTTCTTGTATGGTAAATGTCAGCAGGTGTAATCTGTATAAACAAGACCTAGTGGTAGTGCTCAGTCATTGTTTTAAGAGATCTAAGACCAAACAGTTTTAGAATCACTGCTATAAATCTTTGAGGGAAGAGAGACAGGCAGAGAACAAAGGAGAGTCCAGTGACTCCCTGTGATGAGCAGACAGTGACAGTCCTACTGCGCTCTGCTCATCAGCCCACAGCAGGGCTACTCTGGGAAACCCTGTCCACCTCTGGGCACGCCCTCCAGTAGGGATGCTGACCTACTAAACACCACCCAGAAAGGACAACTGGACTATTAGAGACTCCGCAAACTGTGTTCTGTAGAGCAAGAGAAAACATTAGGTAAATTCACCCTGGAGGAAAGCAAAAATAAAAATAAAAACTAATCTTATGAAATCACAGTAGCTTCTTCAAATCTCTGAAAGGTTGTCAGATAAAATTTAAACCACAGGGAATGTATAAAAATGGTCTCCAATGTGCATTTTGCTCTACCAGAATTTTTTTTTTTCCTGTTTGGTCTCTTCTCATTCCTTCTTTTTTTCCTCTTTCTTTTTCCATTTTTTCTTCATTTTCTTACTCTCTCTTCTTTCCTTCTTTTCATTATTGTCTCCCTTAATTATTCACAGTATATAATAGACGTATTTTTGTTATTTTTTTCTAAAAGTTTTATCTTTCCTTCCTTATTTTTTTCAATTTTTATCAATTTATTTTTGTTACAGATGTTTCTCCGACACCCTCCTCCTCATCTGTTTTTCCTTCCTTAAAAGGTGAGTGAAAAAAGGAGGAGGAAGGGGAGGAAGAGGAGGGTGAGGAGGAGAAGGGGGGAGGAGGAAGGTAAGGGGGAGGAGGACAAAGGGTAGCTGATCAGTAGTCAGTAGAAGGCAAAGAAGCAGAGCTAGCCCATGGAGACATATTCCATGGCTTAAAGGCAAGGAGACAGGTGGAGTGGTAACTGGTGGCGAACCCAGGCTAAATACTTGTTCTTTCCCTTCGTGGTAATCATGATTTGAATGACGAACCAGACCAATTTCTCCTCATATGCCCTGGAATCGGTATGTAATGCAACTACTAGTCAGAAATCATTGAACTTCTAAGTCACTTGATTTCTCTAAGAATAAAATGCCAGAAATAAAGATTACGGAGAATTTCACAATATTTGATTTAGTCTTAACAAGACTACAATAGACCTTTTGATTCCATAGCAATCATAGCAATTATTTTATCATGACCTTATCAATTAACAGTCGCTGATCACTCAGTATGAGCTGTGCGTTGTTTTAAAAACTTGACACATACAACTCATTTAATCCTCACAACCATCCCATAAGTCATGATCCTTATTTTGCAGACGCAGAAACTGAGATGTAGAGAGTTGAAGTAACTTGTCCCCATTCACACAGCAAGGAAGTGTTGGAACTGATTTTTTAGAAGTGTGACCCTCTGACTTGTCCTAGAAGAAGAGGAGAAAAACTAAATCGAATGGGTCAAGAACAGGAAAGGTGAAGTACCTCTGAAGTTACCAGGACACTCCCATTTCAGAGAAGTTCTGGCGTGGAAGGGGAACCAACTGGCCTTTAGGTACTCTCAGTTCCTGTTCCCTAGTGGCTTGGGAGCAGACAGTGGTTTTCCCTGAGCCAAAGGCACTAGGCCCTGCTGACACTAACCACATCATTATGCTCTTTGAAATTCTAGTCGTCTAATGGCTGGAGCATAGAGGTTCACCTGAAGAACCCAAGGGACTACTGAAGAGCAGAAAGCAAAACGTATTTCTTATGAATGGTCCTCCCAATTTGATTCCACATCTGCACACCTTTATACCATTTCCGGAGTGCCGTCATACTTATTGTCTTAGTTACTGTTCACAACAAGCCTAAGGTAGACGAGGAGGCATTGTGACCTCTGGATCTTTGCACATCCTGTTCCCTCTCCTTGGAACATTCTTTCTACTCTCCCCCATCTTATGTTATTGCTTAGTCATCTGGCTTATGATTTCTTATGTTTTGGTCTCCCGAGTGAAAGGAGAGGAAAACAGTGTCTCAAACAAATATCTTTATTTGTTTCTGGACTAGATGAGATGATAATCTATGCCTCTCCTTAAGGGGAATAAACACCCATATCTGTCCATCCTTGGCTGCTTGAGTAAACCAGAAATAGTCAAGGATAAGAAATCCAAGCTACTGAGAACTTTGTGAGCCTTCAGTTAAGATTCAGTTGGGGGTGGATTCATGACGAGTGCTATGGAATAAGAAAGTCATAAAAATTAGACCTTAACATAATTATGGGAGCCGCTGGGGACGTGAATGTCTTAAAGGCATATTTGAAAGATCAGAAAAGGAGTCAGAGTAAATCTGAAAAGTTAAGCATCTGTAGCCACCAAAGTGAGCTCACAAAGTGGTGGTGCATGAAGAGGTCTGTGGGAAGCCATTACCTCTCAGAGGCTACTGCCTCTGGGGGTCCAGAGACAAGGCAGCAGACCTGCAGCTGCGATGAGCTGACACCTGCCAGGTACCTCTGTCTCCACCTCTGACCACAATGACCTTTAGAGATTCACAGTGGCTGCTGCTTTATTTCTGCCTTCCAAACCTTGTACAAGTTCCTCTTTTGCTCAACTCTGGCCTGGAACCATAAAGGGAAGCAGATGTAGTTCCCAACAAAACCAAGATGACACTGCAAAATCCAGCACACACTCTTGAGAAGTAAGAGGCAAACGAAAGTAAGGGTCACTAACCTGGGAAGAGAGGTCACATTAGAGTCACCCTTGACTCCTCTGTATCTCCCACATGCCCAGTCTGTCATCACATTCTCCAGCTTTGATCTCCACGGTGACATACTCATCTATCACCCCTTCTCTATCACCACGGTCATTACCCGAGTTCTGATTCTTCTTACCTTTTTTCTTAAAGACTAAATGTTTTTCAGGACCTCCATTCACCCTGCTCTCTCTGGCCTATGTATCCTTTGCACTTGATACTTCTCCCTAAAATGCTCTTTTTCCTTTATGCTTCCGGTTTCCATTTAAATGTTATTTCCTTCTGGAAGAATTTTTAGAGCCCTCCACAAATCTGAGTTAGGGGCTTCTCTATTCTAGTAGCTACTACATGTTAAGTATTATTTAATAATCTGTCTTTTCCTGCATCATCACCATCTAGTGCCATGTATATAGGAACTCATAATTGTTAGGTAATTGATAGAATGGATGAATAAATGAGTGATTGAATGAATAAATGAGTGAATGAATGAATGAATGAATGAATGAATAAGTGTCTCCATTTCCAGTATATCTTCTATATTCTACATTGAAATTAATCTTTTTGAAAGCCTAAATTTCTTTGGTGGGCTTGTCATTGCCAGTGGAAGAAAACTCAAAAACCTCATCTGGGCATTCAAGAACCTCCACGCCTGATCCCAGCCTCTTTTCCAAACATTTCCCAGCATTCCTCTGCGTGCTTCCCTGCATACAAGCAAACTGAACTGCAGGCTCTTCCCTGAGGAAGAGCCGTTATTTGCGATAATAATCTCAAACAAAAAGCTTTTATTTGTTAACATATGTTATATATTAGGCACCATGATAAACATTTTATATACAATATCTTATTGAATCATCACAATAACAATCACAATAAGAGATGATAACTCATTCCTCATTCTAGACATAAAAACACGAAAGTTCAGAAAGGATAAGTCATCTGCCCAAGGTCATACAGCAAGTAAATGATAAAATCAGTATTTAAGCTCATGTGTTATCTGACTCTATGATCAAGATTATAACCACTCCGCTGTACTGCATCTTTCTGTAAGTGGTTCTCAATAACTGTTTGTTGGTTTAAATGATTATTCGGTGCTTACCAAACTAAATACTTTGAATAGTTTATTATTTGAATTCTCAAAACAGATTTATTAAGGAAGAATTGTTATCTCCAGACTATAGATGACAAAAGTGAGGCCCAAAGAGGTGAAGTACCTTAGCCTATGTCACATAGATCAAAAGAGCGAACCTAAACTTGAACCCTCATCTGTCTGCCTACAGGGCTGGAGGAGCTAATCACTGTCAGAATCACTGGAGCTGGAGCAGCCCCTGGTTACCCTCTTGTCTAAATGCCCTTTTGGGTAAGGGGACAATTCTCAGGGACGCTAAGGGACAGCCCGTGATGATGGTAAACCAGGACTCTTGGCTTTTCATCATAAGACTTGTCTCCTTCCCTGACCAGAAATTGATCCTAGGCCACAGCATGGTAAGGTCCAAGTCCTGCCCACCAGACGACAGGGAGCACACCCAGCCCTCTCCGTCTCTGCTCATTCTGTACCCTCTGCCTGTTAAAAGCCATCTTCACTCCGCTGACCCTCAGGTCATCTGTTTCCTGTTTTCTAAGAATAAAGAGAAGAATGAGTCAGAGAGATACTGTGTCTGCTTTCCAGGAGCTTCACAATAGAGAGTGACAATGTTGACAGGGACACTGCGACCAGTAAACCAAGGTCCACGGAAACAAGCACACAGGACTTTCCATCCCACACGCTGTGGAGCCAGTGAGTCCTGAAGGCGGCATGTTTATCCTGGGTGGATTCTCGGGAAAATCATCACCTTCCTGGAGGAAGTTGAAGAGTCGAAATGCTGCAAGAGAATCTGTCCATCCACCTAGAACCTGGGCAGTGGATGGGGCTAGGGAGCATCATGAAGACATGGAGGTGGGAAAGGCATTTCAGAATGAGGAGACAGTGATTTTTTTTTTCTCATTTATTTAATCACTTATTTTATTTTATTTTTTAACTATACTTAGGATGCATCTAGTGACCCAGGAATTGTGTGAGAGCTTAAAACAGAAGAACTTAACCTGGACTAGTACTGGGAGATTACTTTTAGGCTGAGATCTGAAGTTAGAAGACTGAGGAAGGACAGGGAAAGTATTCCGGTGGGTGTGAACAGCAGGTGCAATAGCCCTGAGGTGAGTAGAACACAGTACATTGGAGGAACCAGAAAGAAGGTCATTGTGCACAGAGAGACCTTATCAGGAAATGAGATGATGGATTGGTTAACAAATACCAAGTCATGGACAACCCTTCAGTTTGTTTTATGGATTTTTATAACTAGGATGTGGCACTTTTAAAATTTGACCCAAAAATTCTTTGATAGTCCTCCCATTGAGAGGAGCTCTAGGTCACTCGCCTGAAATCTAGGTTCTGTGATGCTGTGTCAGGTTCTGGGCTCGGGTCTTAAAAAGTGGCAGTTCCCACTTCCTGTCCTTTGGAACCCAGTCATGACGTTGTAAGGAAGCCCAAGTAGACCGTGCAGAGGCCCACATGGACAGGCCATATGGCCAGGAACTGAAGCCCCGGACCCTTAGCCCCAGATGAGATTGTAGATGGCAGCCAGCACTAAATTGCCAACCAGATGAGTGAGCCGTCTTGGTCAAGCCATCGAAGGGGCAGGGAGAAAAGATGAGCCCACCCTGTTGAGCCCTGCCCAACTTGTATATTCCTGATGCAAACGAATAATTGTTATTGCTTTCAAGACAGTGAAATTTCAAGTACAGTCATGCGTTGCTTAACCATGGGGACACATTCTGAGAAATGAGTCATGAAGCAACGATTCTGCCCCTGTGTGAACATCATCGCATGCACTTTCACAGACCAAGATGGTGTAACGACCACACACCTCAGCTACATGCCTGTACGGCATGTTACTGTACTGAACACTGCAGGCCGTTATAACAGAATGCTGCTTGTAGATCTAAACAAACATAAAAAAAGTATGATATCAAAGTTCAAAAAAGTGGTGCAGGGCACTTACCATAAATGGAGCTTGCAAGACTGGAAGTCGCTCTGGGTGAGTCAGTGAGTGAGCGGTGAGTGAAGGCTGGGACATTCCTGTACACGACTGTAGGCTTTGTAAACATTGTCCCACGAGCCCTCCCTCTGCTTCCTTGCCACACGGTCAAAATAGAACATCAGAGCTGTCCTTGCTGTCCCATGAACAGGAACAGGAGCTGGAGCGATCAGAAATATCGAGGAGAAACTGGGTAATAGTGACTGTCAGGAGGGAGGGAAGGCGGTCCGAGGATCAGTCGGAATAAGAAACCAGGATGGAGAGAGAAAGGAACCCAGGGGCTTGCCATGGCCCTGTTGGCTGTTGCGTGTTGGAGATGAGCAAGACTAATGTGTGTACATGAGTTTACCCACTCGAAGATAACCGTAGCTAAAAATCTTATCATTGCTTTACAAAGGCTATCTCATTTGATCCTGGCAACAAGAAGCCTGACTGATAGAATGGCCTCTCTCAGGCCCCCAGACCCACCCCCAGACCAGCACAGATGTCTCAAAAAAGGAGGGCGGGGAGGAAATAGTACAGCTTCTCTTGATACCTTTTATCTCAGGTTTTTAAGTTTTATATTTTATGTTTTATAATGTACTTGATAGTACCTTGACACGTGTATGCAATTTACAAATAAGAATATATCTATCGTAGGGAGTCCTTACAGTTATGTCACTGATAGAGTGTATGATCCAAAAAGCTTGGAGACAATGTGGGGGGGGGACACGGCTCCACGTCCCCGCACTTGTGCAAGGACGGCCGTGTGGTCTGCCAGCTGAGTTGCTGGGAGCATATTTTATAGTTTGGCGACCCATCCCTGGCTGGATTATAGGCTTGTGGTCAATTCCCATCTCTCCATTTTTCCCATTCCTGTTTCGCAATTACTGGTCGTGGTGGTTGGAGCAGTTAGCAGGTATTGAGGGCGTGCTCTGTGCCAGGCGCTGTGTTAAGCATTTTCATGGTTTATTTCATTTAATAGTCATAATAACTCAAGTAGTCGCTATAACCCTTGATTTACAAATGAGGAAACAAAAGTGGAAAAAAACGAGCCCCGGGTCACAGTGGCAGAGCCGGGATTCAGCCCTGACTGAAGAGGCTCTGGAATGAGCAGGTGGGGTTGAAGGTCAGTTCTGGATTCAGACACAGACTTTGGCACTTGTTAGGAGGCTGCGCCACAAAGCTGCGTCTACTGAGAGATTAGTGACACGTTTCAATGTTAGTCCAACCCTATAACGGCCCTCCCAGCCAGAAGCAAATGAAAGGTGATGTACATGGGACACTGCATTTCTGAAGGATGTTGCGTACTCCTTCCCCACCACGACCCCCGCCACCACCCCATCTTTGCAAGGCGCCCAGAGTCATTAGCAGTAAGCGCATCCGTGTTTAAAGTGAGCCTCAGATAAAAAGTGCAATAAACCAACATGCCTTTTCTTCTGATGCTGGGGCCTCACCAAATTGTTTACTTAAATGACGACCGAGAAAAGGCAGGGACAGTATAGGATCTCCCAAAACGGCTGACAGGGGCTCTGACAAGCAGCTCCTCCAGCAGCCATGACACAGGTCCTGGGCATCGCTCTTCATGTCCTGGTCTACGTGCTTCATGCCTCGAGACGCCCTGTGGGTCCCAGTCCCTCCAGGGTCACACCAAACGAGACTCACCTTCCCATCGGACATCTGTGTCTTGCATATTACTAGCCAGGTTTCCCATCCTCCAACAGCCTGTTGGCATAAATACCACTCCACTCCACCCAGGACATTCTTAGCGGAGAGAGAGGAAGTCAGGGAATCCAGAGTCGCTGGGATGATGACACAATGACTTGGCCAAGGTCATGGTGAAACTCAAGCTCTGTGTGTGTCTACTGGCATGAATGGAGGACCCCACTGGGTTCGGAACCTGACTTGGCTGCCGCAGGAATGTCCTTGAGCAGCTTAGCTGAGACAAAGGTATCCTCTTTTCCTTCCTTCCCTCCTCTGGAGGAATGTGGCCTGGCTCGGGCTGCAGCGGCCCTTTCCCAGGCATTCAAGCTCAGGTTGATTTATTTCTGGTGCCCAGGGTTCGGCCAGCCAAGAAAGCCAGTGAGGAAGATACCCCATCCCGCTGCTGGGAACAGAATTAGTAAGCGTTTTGTTTTCCTCTGGGCCCAAACTGTGATTGCAACAAAGCCTAGAATGAACGCAGATCAAGATTTTCTATAGAAGGAAGCAGAAGAGCGAGGTGGTGAGCTAGAGGAGGAGAGGACGTAAAACAAAGGAAATTCTTGTGTCTGACTTGGATTGATTTTAACGGGAGACACTAGAGCTTGTTATATGCTCATGGGATTGATCTCATCGAGAAGAAGACATGAATGTATGGAGGAAAAGGAAACCATTTGGGGAAAAATTCCCAAAAAGAGAGGAGTGGGTGGAATCCAGGGTGTGGGTAAAAGGAGCTCATCTTTTCTTAATGGGAAAACAATAGTTTGGGCAAAAAAATTTCACTTTGGGCAGGACTGCTCCAAGCAACCCTGGCCACAGTAGGTTTTCCAATCACTGTGGCAACAAAAGAAAAAAAAAAAAAATCTCACGTGTCTCCAAACGCACCCTGGAGGGCCTGATTCTGCTCCATGGAGAACCTACAGACAAGTCCTACCTGCTCCCTCTCCCCTGCACGTCCCGCCCCTGGGGACCCGTCACAGGGCAAGGTGATGGGGTTGTGAAACTGAGCAATTGACAAAGGAATTTGAGGAAGGATGATGCAGCAAAGCTCTGGGGACCCTGGAATCAGAAGGAGCAGCCAGCCAAGCCCAATAGTGAAGCTACTCTGCCGGCTGCCTGAACACCATGGCAACCTTCCCGTTGGAGTCGCTGCCCCGGCCTCGAGGAATTAATAGTCCATTGCTCTGCCTCTGTCTGTGATAGAACAGCTTGCAGTGTCCACAACAACAACTAGAAAGCTGGGTAAAATGCAAAATTTTTAGAAATCTGCTTGTTCCATTTATAATTTTTTGAGAAAACTCCATATTGTTTCCATAGTGGCTGCACCAGTCTGCATTCCCACCAGCAGTGCACTAGAGTCCCCTTTTCTCCACACACCTCGCCAGCACTTGTTGTTTGATGATTTGTTGATGGCGGCCATTCTGGCAGGTGTGAGGTGATACCTCATTGTCGTTTTGATTTGCATCTCTCTGCTGATTAGAGATGTTAGCATTTCTCCATATGTCTCCTGGCCATTTGTATGACCTGTTTGGAGAGGTGTCTATTCAAGTCCTTTGCCCATTTGTTAATTAGATTGTTTGTCTTCCTTTTGTTGAGTTGTATGAGTACTCTAAATATTTTGGAAATTAATTTCTTATCAGATATATCATTGGCAAATATGTTCTCCCAGAGAGTGGGTTCCTTTGTGTAGCTGTGAAAAAGCGAGATCTCTTACCCTTCGAGACTGCAGGGAGGAACCTGGAGAGTATTATGCTAAGTGAAATAAGCCAATCAGAGAAAGCAAGTATCACATGATCTCACTTATATGTGGAATCTAATGAACAAAATAAGCAGACAAACTAGATCTAGAGCTCTGGCCAGTTTGGCTCAGCAGTTGGAGCGTTGCCTGTGGACCAGAGAGTCCTGGTTTTGGTTCCTGCTAGGGGCATGTACAAAAAAAAAATAGGTCTAGAGACATGGAAGTGAGGCACAGCCTGATGAATCTCAGAGGGAAGGGAAGAGGGGGAGTGGGAAGAGGTTAACCAAAGAAGGTATATGCACATGTGCATAACCAATGGACACACACAATAGTGCAGCGAAGGCCTGGGGGGAGGGGGCAGAAGTGGGGTCAATGGGGGCTAAAAGTATTTGTCGTAATACTTTCAGCAAAAAACTTCATTAAAAAAACATCTGCTTGAAGTCATCAAGGAGGTACTAGGACTTGAGGGACCAAGATCCTAGAGAGCAGATGAGTCTCTTCTGTGTTTCAGCTTGGGGCATTTGCTGAGTCTTAAGCTATCAAAGAAAGGGGCCAAAAAAAAAAAGTCAAGCAGAAGGTGTTTTAAAAGTTCAGCAGAGACTTTAGCAGTTTTACCATGTTGGGGAAACAAAAATTAATGTCCAATAGGAGGCAAGGCAGACAGGTCTCACTCAGAACCCCCAGAGGTCACATCCCAGGGATGGGAGCCAGGCGCAGGGCGAGCCAACCTAACAAGGGCTGAAAAGCATCCTTGA